AAGGCTGTAACTTTGAATCAGCTGTGTTCCAAGAATGCTGTAAGTGTTTGGCATCCGAAAGACCAGGAAAACGCCACTGCACCAAGAGTCTGATGGGATGGTAGAAAAGTACAACTGGACACTGGGACAGGAATTGGCAAAGCTTTGTAATAGCCGTCAAAATGACTGGGATGTCTTACTCCTTCCACTGTTGATGGCATATAGGACAGCAGAGCATGAAATCACTGGATACACTCCAGCAATGTTGATGTTTGGTCGGGAACTTCGGTTGCTAGTGGATTGGTTAACAGGACGCCCACCTTATGAAAAGTTGCCTGAGAATGTGTCAGAGTTTGTGAAAGTGTTATCGGTAACGATGGATGATATTCACCATCAAGTGCGTTCAAACTTGAAAACGTCTGCTGATTCGATGAAGTTAACTTATGATAAGAGATCTACTGAAGTCAGCTTTGAACCAGGAGACAAGGTATGGTTCTATAATCCCAGGAAGACCAAAGGGAAGTCTCCTAAGTTGTCTTCTCCATGGGAAGGCCCATATGACATAGTGGATCGTTTCTCAGACGTGACTTTCCGGGTAAAATGTGGTCGGCGAGGTAAGCCAAAAGTGGTGCATGCCAACAGGCTTTGGCGTTATCATGGTCCAGGACATTTCAGTTGGGATGAAGTGGACAACAGAACAAATCACGCTGCTGAAAACGTGCCACCTGAAGAAGCCACCGTCGAAGAAGAAACTCTACTCAGTTTGAGAAGGGAAATGGTGAAGCTCTTGATGAAGTTACTACCACTGATGTGACTGTTACCGACGATAGAACATTTCCTGATGAAGCAGATGAACCCCACGTGAAGCAGAAGCCAACAAGACGGAGACCAGTACGGAAGAAGATAGATACGTCCCGTAAAATTAAGAGACTTTGTTGAATTGTAATTTTGTGATTGTAATTCTGTACATTTAATCCTTAGTATTGTTCGTCCCGAACAATAGCCACTTACAATAAACTAATAACAATTAACAATAACTTAAGGGGCAGTGTTGCATCAGCGAGGTCACGTGACTAGTGTCACGCCACCTCTCGAACCTTCGGGCATAGTCGGGAGATTACTATATATAGGGTAGTCTGGTATATATATATAAGAGGGTGACAACGTGACGGAACAATGTGTGTGTAGACAGTGAGTAATTGATCTGCAGTCAGAGAGTATTACTGAGCACGTTCGTTGTTATTGCGTTTGTTTTAGCGCGATTGTTGAAATTAAGTGTATCGTAAAGTTATATTCGGAAAGAATAAACCAGTTTTATTAAGTAAGGACTTGTGTCGCTAAAGTTTCGTCGGAACGAAGTTACGGAAAGCTAATTAACAAACGGAGACATAACAATACTATTGCATTACCTACATGGACATGGCTTGGGAAGGGGTCAGATGTTGTACTCGTGCTCCGGGTACAAGCTACGACCTTCTCGTAGTAATATACTCAGTATTTTACCGTACTACAATATTAACCATGTCGCTACGAATAGCGCGTATGTCATGACCTTTTAGAGTTACATTCAAAATTTAAATAAACTACTTTATTACCAATGTATATCAATAAAGTTGACATTAAACATAATTTATAGATCAAGTGTGAATAATATAAAGTTTCAACTTCGTATTTCTAAAAGTATGTATATATATATATATTATATATACAGCTTATAAACTATTGATTCGATTATTGTTAATATGTGATTAAATCAGCACTATAAAACAATAATGAATTAAGAATCACATTACCGTTATCGGTCCAGGTTGTAAACTTATTGTCATAACGGATAAAGTCTGTGGTAATAGCACCCAAGTGCGTTGGGGATATCCCATTTATTAGACAAAATCCAAACGCCGATGTCAATCTATTCAGCCGTCATGGAAAATCATAAAAATATGATCAATCAAATAAGGGTACGAAGTTGAGTGCTTACACCCACAATGTCTCAGCTTCTACTGCCTTTCACTGTCTATAGCCAGTTGTGGGAAGGCAGGTACACTTAAATTTCTTAAAGTAGAAATGAATTGAAATAAAGCCACCATAATATTTCTACTGGTTAAATTCCCAACCTCCACCCCTACAAACATATATTAAAATAGAACTATACATCCTACCCTAAAAGATCTTATATAGTTCTAACTCCCAACCTCCTCCCTTTCTCCCGAAGATTTATTCAAGTATAACACGGCAACGCCGAGACAAGCACAGCTGCTTGAACTGAAATTAGTCTTTACATCCCGATTATACTGAATAAAATTACTTGAAAAATTAATATTATTTACTTATAAGCTAAAGTATTTTTGTACTTATTAAAAAATAAAGTAATGTATTTCTTTATAACAGTTATCTTTATATTTATTTTTTGATAATAAAACATTATCCATAAAAAATTATAGTTATTACATACTATTAAGAACCGTTTTAGTTGATATATAATAATACCTTATAACATGATACAGGGAATAACACTATTAGGTGTGGGTAGACCAAGAATGGGAAAATTAAAGTTTATTCTTTCATAAAAAATAGTCAACCGCACTGTACCTTCTATAAAAGTAATGTCCAAATCTAAATAATTAGCATGGACCTCATTATTATTATTACTCCTTTCTATTGTAAGTTCTGTTGGATATATTAGGTTTGGTGAAAAATTCATATTATCTATAGATATTAAGTCATCTATGTAACGGAAAGTGTAAATGTATAAGTTAAAGTCTGCTTCATAAATGAGTTTTCATAAAAGAACAAATACAGGTCGGCCATATTTGAAGAGAAGTTCTTTCCCATTGAAATACCCACAGTTTGTTTATATAAAAAATGTTGTTCGTTAAATTCGTTAAAAAATGT